AAGATTTAAAATTTTATATTATTAAATAATTAACAAAAATGATGTAATTTAATAGTTATTATACTTTTATTTTAATATTTTAATTTTATATTTACATCTTAAAAGATAAAAATATTTTACTAAGATTTTTTGGTCAGTTATAAGAATAAAAATGAAAAAGAAAATTTAATTATTATAATAAATAAATTTTTTTGATAGTTGTAAATAAGTAAAATATAACTTTTTTTTATAAAGATAATGATTAATAAATTAGTATTGTTAGATGTTAGTAATTAAAAATTTAATTTTTAAATTTAATGAATAACTCACCGACTTCAATGAGATGCACGATTATCAGCCACTTGCTGAAGTTCGAATAAAATATAATTAAATCACACAAAAGGAATTAGAAATGTTACTATTGCTTAGGATGATTAGGTTGAATTACTTTACATTTTAAAAGAAAAATATGGAGACTTGGTGGAAAAGGAGTCCCATGTGAAATGAACTAGTCGTTGAGCATGATATTCTCGTTTCACCCGTAATTCCTATTGACTGACTAATTGACTTTAGGGCGGTACTTTTATTCCTCTTTGGTCTTTCTTTTTATTTTTTAGCAATAACTTTGCTATTAATTAACTCGATTTTTTTTACAAAAATCACAAGATTAAATTTACAGTTAAATAAGCTTTTTTATTTTTTTATTTTTTGTGTTAGAGTTTAATATTTTAAAATTTTAAAATTAATATTTAAAAAATTAATTTTTTAAAATATAAAAAATTAATGTAAAAATTATATTTTTAAAATCGTTCAAAAATAAATTAATTTATCATATCCTTGGATGATTGATGCTGAATTCACATTGGACCGACATCGTTGATTGTTAGAATATGCCTAATCATTTAGGAACGAGTAAGCTTGTAACTTGTAACCTTAAAACTTTTTTTTTTATTTTTGGGAAACAACTAAACTTAAAACATGTCTTGTAACTAGTCATAACAGCCTTTTATGATTTGGTTCTCTCCTTGATGATAATAATAATAATAACAATAATAACAAAATTTATACTCTATTAATATGATTATGATTTTTTGTTTTTATAAATTTTAAAATATTCATTTTATTACTATGTTAATGTTTATTTTATATACAAATAAAATACACATTTGACATTATGTCATGTATATGACAATAAGGATATGATAAAATCTTTTAAATTCAAGATTCCATTTTTTAAATTCCATAAAAAATTATTTTTAAATATAAATTAAAATTTTATTTTATTTTTTTCAATCAAGACTAATATATTATATATATAATATGTTTCATATTTTACAATCTCATTGCAAAACTTTCCAAAACCATTCGATAGGGTTTGTCCTTGACATTAAGGAGCGTACACCCATTTATGTTGGATTTGACATTTAAGTAGTGTATATAAAGGCACTTTGACTTTCGAATCAAGTGATATTAAGTTATATTTAAAGTGCATTTCCTCTCATTGAATAATAATTTAAATTTGACTTTTGCAAATTTATTAAAAAAATAGTGTATATAAAGAAATTGAAATAAAAATACTTTTAAAATTAGTATTCTCTTTGTTTATCTTTTGGTAAATTTAATTTAATTTGTTGACTTTTTAAATATATATTTTTTAAAATAACATATTATATAAGTAATAATTGAAAATTTTGTAATCAAATAAAAATACTTAATAAAAATTATATATAGAGAAAAAATTCAATTGTTATTTATATA